AATCTCTTCAATAAATAGTGATTGTTGTACATCTATTCTAGACAAGAATATATCTACACTTATTACGCTAATTATTGTTATTCTACATTAGGTAAGAATATATACACCTAATTATAAAAATTATGACAAATATGATCAGCCATAATTCTGCCAAATCTCAGCCACAATCACAGTCATCAATCAGCCTTTGATATGACCCCTCAAATTGATGCTGAATGATCAGAAAGCATCAATAGTGATTGCTACCAATTCATACCAAAGAATGGCTACACAAGCTGTTCTAGGTTCGTCCAAGGAGACTTCTGAGGTTGTTAATGTTGCGTATGCGGCTCAAGGGAAGGACCGAGGGAAGGGACAAATGCAGTGCTATAGTTGCAAGGAGTTTGGGCATATTGCCCGTAATTGTGGTAAGAAATTCTGCAATTATTGTAAACAGAATGGACACATTATCAAGCAATGTCCTACACGCCCAGAAAACCGACGAGGGTCCAAGCTTTTCAGGCTGCTATCTCAGACCCTACCAATATCAGTTCTCCAGCCACGATTGCTGGCACAAATCCGTCTTTTGCTACTCTAGAAATGGTCCAACAGATGATCATCACCGCATTCTCTACTCTTGGACTTCATGTTCAAGGTAAGATTGTTTCTTCTCCTTGGTTTGTTGATTCTGGGGCATCAAATCATATGACTGGATCACCTGATTGGCTGCATAATCTTCGAAAGTATACTAGTAAACAACAAATTCAGATTGCAAATGGGAGTAATCTTCCAATTACCGCCATTGGTGATATTGGACCTTCCTTTCGTCATGTATTTGTCTCTCCGGGATTGTCTACTGGTTTAATCTCTGTTGGGCAGTTGGTGGGTAATAACTGTAATGTAAATTTCTCTCGTCATGGTTGTCTTGTGCAGGATCAGGGGTCGGGGAAGGTGATCGCGAGGGGGCCTAAAGTGGGCAGATTATTTCCATTGCAATTTATACCTAGAACTTTGTCTTTGTTGTCTATTGTTATTGAAAATAAGGCTGATATTTAGCACAAACGATTGGGCCGTCCAAATAATGTGATATTATCTCTTTTGATGAAACATGGTTTTCTTGGCAACAAAAATCAGTGTTCTTCTAGTTGTCTTGATTGCTCTGTTTGTAAACTAGGAAAAAGTAAAGTATTACCTTTTCCTACATATGGGACTCGTGCTAATACTTGTTTTGAAATTATACATAGTGATGTTTGGGGTATTACTCCTATCACTTCCCATGCACAATATAAATATTTTGTGACATTCATTGATGACTATAGTCGTTTTACATGGATATATTTTCTGCGTACCAAAGCTGAAGTTTTCACTGTTTTCAAAAGTTTCCTAGCTTATATTGAGACTCAATTTTCTATCCTCATCAAGGTTCTACGGTCTGATAATGGAGGTGAGTATATTTCACATGATTTTCAAGCTTTCTTACAGCAAAAAGGTATTATATCCCAACGATCTTGCCCTAATACCCCTCAACATAATGGGATGGCTGAACGAAAAAACCGTCACCTGCTGGATATGGTTCGCACTTTACTCTTAGAGGCCTCAGTTCCACCTAGATTTTGGGTGGAAGCTTTGTCAACGGCAGTTTATCTGATTAATCGGCTACCTTCTCAACAATTGAATTTTGATTCTCCTTACTTTCGTATCTTTGGTATGCAGCCTGATTATCATATGTTACACACTTTTGGATGTGTTTGCTTTGTCCACTTGCCTTCACATGAACGTCACAAGCTTTCAGCTCAATCAGTAAGGTGTGCTTTTATGGGATATAGCACTACACACAAAGGTTTTTTTGTGTTATGATGTTACCACTAATAGACTGCGTGTTTCTAGAAATGTGGTTTTCTTTGAACATGAGTACTATTTTCATCATCAGCAGGATCTCTCTTCACATGGTGTTCTTCTTCCTAGCTTTGATGATATATCTCCTTCCATTGAGCGTTTTAAACCTGGTTTTGTGTATCAGCGACGACAAACCCCTTCCTTGCAAATACTTCCCACCCATGATCCAGTACCTCCCCCAGTGGCTCTTCGCAAATCTACTCGTAATTGTCATCCTCCTGATAGGTATGGTTTTTCTGCTATTGTAGCTGATATTACAGTACCTACATCTTATTCTCAGGCCACTAAACATGTATGTTGGGAGAAAGCTATGCACGAAGAACTTCAAGCTCTTCAGGAGACTCATACTTGGGATATTGTTCCATGTCCTACTGGTGTTAAACCTATTGGTTGTAAATGGATATATTCCGTTAAGCTGAGACCTAATGGGTCACTTGACAGATACAAGGCAAGGTTGGTGGCACTTGGAAATCGACAAAAATATGAAATCGATTATGAGGAGACATTCGCACCGGTGGCAAAAATGACGACAGTGCGACTCATTCTAGCCATTGCTTCTTCCAAGGGCTGGTCATTACGGCAAATGAATGTTAAGAATGCCTTTTTACATGGGGATCTTAAGGAAGAAATTTATATGACTCCCCCGCCAAGGTTATTTTCTACACCCTCTTCTGATGTTTGTAAGCTCAAAAAGTCACTCTATGGTTTAAAACAGGCTCCGCGTGCGTGGTTTGATAAGTTTCGATCCACAGTTATTAGCTTTGCCTTTGTCCAAAGTCAATATGATTCTTCTTTGTTTCTCTGCAAGACTCCTAACGGCATTGTTTTGCTCCTAGTATATGTTGATGATATCATTATTTCTTTGGTAGGCATCCATAGTGTAGCCATTCATAGTGATTGTTGTACATCTATTTTAGACAAGAATATATCTACACTTATTACGCTAATTATTGTTATTCTACATTAGGTAAGAATATATACACCTAATTATACAAATTATGACAAATATGATCAGCCATAATTCTGCCAAATCTCAGCCATAATCACAGTCATCAATTAGCCAAATCTGAGCCACAATCACAGTCATCAATCAGCCACAATCAGCCTTTGATACATATCTTGGAGAAGCATGCCAGAATACGGTGGGCATTTGGACAAACCTGGCCGGGGAGAACCCCGTAGTATTCTAGGAAATAGAGGAGAAGGGGCGGGAACGGGAAGTTCAGGGGGGATTTTAAGGATAGATCCCTAACCAATTCCCCCGATGACGCTCAATAATGTTTTCTAAGTTACGTCGAGTATCGAAGGCTACCCGACCAGAGAGTAAAGATGATATTTCCTCGACTTCACCATGGGTGAGTACATGCCGGTGTTGTTGAACGACCTCACTACTTAAATATTTGTGCTTCACACTCGCTAAGGTGGGAGCAGAGATATGAAGGGATGGGCCCCTAGAAGGCGAAGGGGTCAGGATGGTGATTGTGGCTCGGGGTCAGTAAGAGGTCGGGGTAAGGTTCGAACTCGGGGGCTCTCGGCCATATGGCTTGGCCTCATCATGGTTGGGTAACAACATTCTCCTTGGGCGGACCTCAGCTACGCTCGATGACAACGACTGAATGTCTGGAAACTCCTCTTGCTCGTGGAGAATCGAGTCGTCTGAAGATACGGAGAACGATCAAACCTCGACCTCCTGATTGTAGTCCTGTACTGAGAATTCTAGTTGTCACTATCGGACATGTTTCCTCCTTTAAGAAGGGAAGACATGTTAGCACGGGAACGATAGACCGGACAAGGACCCTAAGTGTGGAACTAAAGTTGAAGTTATAAGTGAGATTAAACATAGATTGTTACCGGTAAGTACGAAGAAAAGCTGCTCGGAACCTAGATTCACTTAAATGCGTAAAGATCCATCAGGCGCTTTGCTTGGGAGGCTCTTGAATTCTCAAGGCAAGTAAGCGTGAAATGGGACCCCTTTCGCACCCTACTTATAGAGGGTGAGCGGCAAGAAAAACTTTTCAAATTTCAAAATTCAAAGCAGATCACGAGGTGAGCGTTAGGCGACCGACACGTGCCCAACGGCTACATGAACGGTGATCCGCGTTTCACACCATGCGCCGGCATCGCACACTTTCCCAACCCGAAAGGGGGAGTTTCAAGGGTTTCTGCTCGGATCTTTTAAGCTCGAACACTTCGTACCTGAATCGTCGTTAGGGCACGGGTTTGGGGGCTACTTGATAGGGATTATTCCCACACTGTATCGTATACATGATCGGTACCGGGGCTACTGAGTAAAGCCGTATTCGAGCATGACCAATCTCTTTGCATGTTGACCCGATCTATTGATCCCAGACAGAATATAGTTGCTCTCCAGTGAAGCCTAGTTCTCATTATTTTACCCCGACCATATTAGGTTGGGGCCGACCACTCGATCTGTGATACTTAGAGCCTTAAGCTTTTCTCCTTCAGCCAAATCTAATAGCGGTGGGTCCGAGAGAGTGAGGAATATCAAGGCACGTGGAGGGACCAGCAAAGGCCTCTGACCTTACCCTGTGCATGCGTTTCACGTGCCACACATGTCGAGGGACATGCATGTGTCCCCTCACGCCTCCTATAAATACCGCATTAAATGCGAGGAGGGGGACTTTGAGACAATTCTATTGAACCTTATTTAGCTCGGGACCCTCTGACCTCACGTCATAACCCCGAGCATAAAAACTTATACCAACAAGCAGAGAAGAGAAGGATCCATCCTCAATCCGACCTCAGCACTTTAAAATTTTTTAATACGAATTTGTGGAAACCACCGTATTTACCACATCACACTAGTATAAATACAAATCATTTTTAAAATATTTTAAATTGTATAGCATAAAAGCTTTCTCAGATGCAATAGTTCGTATTATTTTGTTTCTGTGTGTCATATTTATATCTGCAGATATTCCAACTTCCAAGTATGAAAATGAAAGCAATTCAATGTGTGATTTAGTCAATGGAAAAATTAATTACACTTGTGGGCAACTCACAATTTCAGATCTGCAAGTTTCTTCTTTAATTTGTTATCAGTCACAGATAAGAGATACAAAGATGGATGTAAAGAAAGGAGATTAAGATGAATTACAGTCAGTAATAACTTTCTGTTTGCTCTATTAATGGTGATGAATTACAGTCAAACTATGAATATTATATTTGGAATTAAGAGAAAACTGTGATAATTACTACCTGTGGTGTGATCTGAATGGTTGAATGCTTTAATGGGGCCTGAGAAAACAGGCATCAGAAAGTGCAGAGAGCTCAATCTGGGTGATGGTGTCATCATCATCAAGAGAGGCAGGAAGATTAAGATCTATGAAATTTCCCTCATTAGTAGAGGTAGAAGCAGAACAATGTAGAGAACTAACAGTACTTGTTCTTGCTGAAGCAGTAAAATGTGATCTCTTGTGTCCACCCAAGGCTTGCCCTGATGAAAAAACTCTGTAACAGATAGGGCATTCATGGATTTTCTCCTTCTCCTTCTCCTTCTCCTTATTATTATCAATCTCCCATGCATTTTCATGGCTTCTCTTGTTGGGTTTGATCTTCTTGTGACTTGCTCTGTGCCCTCCTAGTGCTTGGTAAGATCTGAACACTTTGCTGCAACTCTCGCATCTGTATTTCCCTCTTGCCTTTTTGTTTTTCACATTTTCTTCTTCTTCTTCATCTTCTTCTCCTTTTGTCCACTTGTCTTTAGACAGCAAAATCAAGCAATATGCAACGTCTTCTTCCGGGGAAGTATGTTCCGAGATTGAACTCGCCGGCGGCGAGGACTCCGTCGCCGTTATTCCAGTTTTCTGTATCTTCATTTCCGATTCTTCTCTCTCGCCATGGATTTGAGAAGATGATTTCCTAATCCTCTTGGATCGTCTGCAACGCGGCGTTGTTGGCCTTACCTGCTCTCTACACAACTCCGTTTCACTCTCCCCGTCTTGAACCACCACGGAGCCGGCGGCGGTCTCTATCTCGTTCTGGCTTGCTTCATATTCTTCTTCTTCCGACGACGACGACGACCACCGTGCAATCACGTGAGATCTCATGTGCCCGCCCAGAGCTTTACCATTAACGAAACTCCTCAAACACACCTTGCACTTATGATGATTCTCCATTCAACAAAAATATGATTTAATTTCAAAAACTAAAAATGAAATATAATTACTAAATTAGATTTATTTGATATTTCATTCAGTGTTCAAAACGGCAAAAGGCAATTAATTAATAAGTTGAGAAAAAAAAATATGACTTAATAAAAGCTTCTGCATGAAAGCAGAGAGAGAGAATGCGGAGAGGGACATGTAACATGCGATCTAAACATTTATTTCCATCTTTCTTGCATTACCTAAAAAACCCTTCAATTTTTTTTTTAAAAATATTATTCAATTTTATACCACTTATTAGGATCAAACGCTTACCATTATGTCAAAAGCTATAGTTAGTAGCGAATGCATAACTTTATTTCTTTATACTGACACACATTTTTGATAATTTGGGTGCTAAACTTAGTTTATTAAGTCATTACCGATCTCTGCCCAACAATTCTCCAGTCACAGAGTGTTAGAATTGGTCTGGCCTCCATCAAACAATGCTTTATGGTGTTATATGTGGAGCAATCTAGCTTCTGTTTTTTTTTTTACTTTTTTTTTTTGTTTATTCATAGAAATGGGTAAAGTGGGTAAATGGAAAATGAAGATAAAGTGGTGCTAATGCAAAATAAAATGGACCAATTAAAACCTTTCCTTTAATTTGTTTAGAGAAAGGAGCATATATAATAATGTAATTAATTAATAAAAACAATATAATTAATGCGTAATAAATAAAGTTGGAAAAATTGGCAATAGTTAAGGATCTGATGGGGAGGAAACTAAGTTCAAGGCTAATAGAATGGAGCTGTGTAGGGCGTGTAGAGAGTAAACGCCGTTTTGTTAGGGGCAAAATGGTGGACCTGGTCTACTACTTTTAGATTGTCCCACTTGTAAACCCACAAATTTTCTTTTACCTTCACAATCACAACCAGTATTTAGAATCTTTCTTTGAAAAGTGTAGAGAGAGAATTAACTAAAATCAACTTTTGATTGCAATTCTTGAATCAATGGTTCCAGTTTGGATAAACTATATCGTTAAATACGATTCATACCTCCATTCTTCTAAAAGGTTGAACCCCAACCTTAAGGCCTCCCACACCCCGAACGATTCATACATCCATATTTATTAAAATAATAGTGTAAGTTGTATGGCGTTGGCTGAGTTCAATCCCTGCTCAATTATTCGAGACGTCGCACTATGACTTACCATTGAGGATTGTGGTTAAATGGTTAATGTCGACCTACTTATCACCAATTGATTTTAAGTAAGATATGACAACCAGATAGACAAAGAACTGTGTGGTTAAGTGTGCTTACCTTACAATAGTCACATGATGTGTGACTCGAAAGTAAGCACAATGTAGCGTGAGATCCATCATAAGTATCCTGAAAGTAGTGATCGGGTGGATGAAACATAATTCTCGTAACCCACATGATTATTTTAGTACAACTAACTAGTATTTGCTCACGTAAGATGCACGAAATGGATTTGTTAAAATATTTTAAGAATATTTGGATTGATATATAATTATATAGATTATTATATCGAATATTATATAATGCAAGTGACGAATTGAGTTGGATCGATTGTATTTTCTAATGTTATCATTGCTTGAATTTGATCAAATAATTGCCCAAAATTAATAGTCAATGTTTAGATGTACGCATGCTGAAACTTTAGATATTTTAAATATCATCAGTGTTCAGTGAATTATATCTAGGGATCATATTTAATTTTGAGTGAATTATTAATATTCATTACCTTTTCCAATTAGTCTAATTTGTTTTCCATCTTTAAGCAAAATCTTCCTTATACATTCTATACATAATTTTACATCTTTATATATGCGTATTGTAATGAGGTCCCATAATTTTGAATAAAGATGTGCTACAAAATCAGTTATAATTAATTTCTTTTGAATCATTCATATGTATTGCAAGAACATTTCCATCTTTAATTACACAATTTTCCTTATAAATTGTGGAAACTAAACGATTCTATTCAATTTTTCATTTGCAAATATATATCTTTACACAACTATATTTTCAATAACATATATATACATTTTTTTAATATTTCTAGTAACTTTACATTTTATAAAATATTTAACCGAGATTAATATTTTTTCCATCTCAGCTAAACTTTTTTTTTTTTTTTTTTTTTTTTTTTTTTTTTTGACATACTCAGCTAAATCTTATAATTACACAATCCTTATTTCTTAGTATAAAATAACATTTGGTGTAAAAATTATTAATTCTCATATCGAATAATATTCTTTCCATCTCAGCTAAACCTTATATTTCCATCTTGAATTGCAAAACATTTTCCATCTTTAATTACAAAATTTTCATTATAAATTATGGATACTAAATGATTCTATTCCATTTTCAATTTTTAAATATATATCTTTACATAATTATATTTCAGTAACATATATATACAGGTTTTTTTTTTTTTATTTATTTTCAGTAACTTTAATTATATGTTATAATATATATAACCGATATTATTATTCTTTCTATATACTGAGTCAGTTTGAAAGTATTTTTCATTTTTAATCGATTATTAATAGTCATTTCCTATTTCAATTGGCCTAAATTTCGTGTCATTTTTATTATCAGTCAATTATTCTATTTAATACATATTAATTAATTAGTTAATTATTAATAACCGTTTTTTTTATATTTCCAATAACTTTATATTTTATAAAATATATAGTCGAGACTAATATTTCTTTCCATCTCGGTTAAACGTTGAAATGCAAATTTCATTTTACATTTTTATTAATACATTTTATACCAGTACTTTTTGTAGGTACCGTTGGTAGAAAACACAAATAATAATCAAAATAAGATTATTATTTTTCTGGAAATAAGGGAAGAAAAGATGAAGAAATTGGCTAGTGTTTGGTGTTGGGTTTTTCCAAGAGTCAAGTGAGCACTCTTTCCTTAAAACCTTATTTGCCACCTCCCAAAGATGCTAGGAGCGTTGTGGCCTAGGCTTCCCAGGATAAAACTTGCCAGTGATTCAATGTTTGAGCACTCAAACAAGGAATCCGGCGAGCAAGACAAGCTATGAACACAGTATGGCTAAGAGGAGTAGAAGCAGAGATTTTTGAAGCTGAAAAACTATACTTTCGTGCTGTGTAAAGCTGTGTAAAACTCTACTGCCCCAACTCCTCTTTATATAGGGGTGAAGGATTTAATAGCTTTTAATTTTGGCATTTAAAGTGTAACACCCCCATTTTTCATAATCGAAATTTTCCTTAATTCTTTTATCTTAATTTACAATTTTACAAAAATCATAGCGGAAGCACTAACTAACCAAAAGAAAAATGGGTGTTACTGCCACGCTCAGGTATTTCCCTATACCCAAACGCTAAGGCTAAGATTTACAACATCAAATAAACTCAACCCAAATCCAACTTCTATAATACAAGAAAGGATAATACTGTACAACCATAAAACTTCTCAAATAATAAATCTCCAATAGGTCTATTCTTAATTCCTTCTCAACTTGAATTCATCTTGAATCCCTTTATCCATGTTCACCTGTAAAAATAATTTGCAACAAAATAGGGTGTAGACAAAAATTAGCATAAGCTAAGTAAGTTTCACTTCACCCCGTAAAATATATGCTTGGATTTTATATTTTCAAAAGCTCACATAATTTTATTCTTTTCCAAAATACATGTGGAGTTATACTTTTCCTTGTATATATAGAGAATTAATATTTATAAGTGGAGAATTAACAAACCTCATCAAAATCCACTTAGAATCTGGCCTAAAACCTATGTGCACACCCCTAGAGGATTCCAAGCCACTGGGTAGTATATGATCCAAGTAGTCAGGTTATCCTACCTACTACCACCCAAACAGTTTGGAAACTGGACCATAACCTATGTGTTACACCCTCATGGGATTCCAAGCCCAATGAGTAGTCATTAGTCCAAGTGAACAGTATTCACATTCACTGTACACCACACAATACATTATTTGCTCAAAATTCCATTATTTCTCCACATATAAATACTCTTCTCCAAAAATTCATTTTCTCCAAAATATATAATTTTCTCCAAAAACATTTTCTCAAAAATACAATTTCTCAAATTGCAATTTCCTCCACATATAATAATTTCTCAAAAACATAATTTTTAATCCACAATAAGGATGTAATACAAATTTCGCCACATGTAACTCTAAAATTTCAAAGCCGCAGATTTACACAACATGCGGGTTCGACACGTCAAAACCCATTCTCGATATTTCGAGAATCACCATACAAAACAATTAAATTTATCGATAAATTTACTTGTGTTCACGTTAATAGCATATATCACACAAAATTTCAATATATACAATACTCGGGGAAAAATGATAGTTTTGATGAACATGAAATCTTACCTGAATTCTAAAATCAACAAAGCTCTTTAATCTCTACGTGGAACCTGATGATGAGTGCGGGAGAAGACCAATGATAATTGAAGAAGAAAGCTACGTATATTTTTCCCTTTTGTGTTCGGTGATATTAGGGGAACGGCAAACGATAAAAGTGATATGGTTTAGGTTTAGAGAAATTGTTAGGGTAAGGATTATAGTAATTAGTATATAATAGGACTCTACAGGAATATATATATCTGTTTCCCGCCACTAAGTTAGGAAGTAACATAGCTAATAATAACTAATTACTTTAGGTTTATTTAATATATATAATAAAAACATATTAGTTTTAGAATTTCAAGATTAGTTATTATATTATATTAGTAATTAGTAATATGAGTTTAGGAAAATATTTAAACTATCTTCATTATTAGGAAAAGTATATGTCTTTACATATTATATCAGGATTAGGAAGATATTAGGCTCAAAGAGTAATATTTGTACAATAATATGGATTAGGAGACTCTAAATAATTTAGTCACGTAAGCACGTACGATCTTCGTACAGTGCCCAGAAAATATGGGGTATCACACTCTACCCTCCTTAAAAGATGATTCGTCCCCGAATCATGACCACAAGGTTATAAGGAACTCAACCTCACAAAGAAACTCGACCTCGAATTTAATGACACATCAAAGAAAAGATGATACACCACAAAGATGGAGTATTACATAAA